GCGCAGGCGCCGCCTAACCGCGTGGTTGATCCCACCGTCTTCCCAAAGATCAAGCCCAGTAATAAGCTCGAGTGGACGGACTGCTATGAGGTCTTCAAGTGTGCTCGTCTCTCGGTACGTATCAACACCTCATCCTTGAGGAAGAGCTTTCGCTGGAGAGAGATTGGCTGTATCAAGGTCGACGAGTATTGATGGGAACGATTATGAACAGGTCCCGGGCAAACTCCGCGGTCGTCCCTCCAAGGACCGCATCCAGATTGCCATTATCCGGCTTCCTTATAAGCGAGTCAACGAGAGCATGCCAGCCGAGTCGCTTGGAACAATCCATGTGCAACTTGGGGGCTGGTCTGCCTCGAGCACGGTAGGTTCCATCACACACCCCCTCCTATGACGAAGGTCTTGCCTCCAAAGAATGTCCCGTCTGAGCAAGGCTAACATCCCCCTCTCTCCACTTCGCAGAACTTCCTAGTCCGTTCGGCGAGTCCTTCACGCCCCTCTTTGCCGGCTACGAGCTCCTCGCCATCGATTACCGCGGCTACGGCTGGTCCCCCCCGTCCATCAACTGCTTCACCTCGGAGCAAGAACGCCAAACCTACGCCCTCTCCGAGCCGCCGCTGCTCGGCAGCTCCGCCAACTCCGCCGACGTCTGGGACGCCCGCGGCAAGGACTTCTCGTCGCGCTGCGCCACGAACGCCGCCAACGCCGTCAAGTACGCGGGCAGCTACGCGGCGGCCGCGGACCACGTCGCCGTCATGAAGGCCATGGGCCAGCACAAGATCAACTTCTGGGCCGTGACGTCGGGCGCCGTGGTCGCGAGCACCGTGGCGTACAAGTGGCCGCAGCACGTCGGCAAGATCCTCCTCGACGCGCCCGCGCCCGCCAGCCTCTCGTACACGAGCACCACGGCGCAGGCGTACGCAATCCAGGACGCGGACAAGGCCCTCACCGCGTTCCTGTATATCTGTCTCAAGGCGGACCCCAAGGGCCCGACGCCGTGCAACTTCACAGGCGCCTCGACAACGCTGGCCGACATCCGCGGGCGGTTCGACAAGATCGAGGCGGACCTGAAGCGCCGCACCGACGGCGGGATCGCGGTGCAGGGGTTCGAGCGCAGGTTCGACTGGTCCGTGTTCAAGTACGTCGAGTCCCTCCCGCTGTTCGTTCCGGCCCTGTTCCCCGTGCTCGCGGGCGTCCTGTCCGAGCTCGAGTCCGGGCAGTACGCCGGGTTCGTGCCCTTCGCCCTCGCGAACTTCACGTACCAGCCGGTCCCGCCACTGCCGATGCTCACCGAGGACCCGACGTTCGACGGGCTCCTGGCGGGCGCGTGCATCGACGCCACGAAGCCCCCGCGCACGAGGGCCCAGTTCGACGCGTACTACGCCGACCTCGAGCAGCGCGTGCCCTCCGTGGCGCCGCTCTTCGCCGGCGCGCCGCTGACATGCAAGAGCTGGGGCGTCCGCACGGTGAACCGGTGCTGCGGGCCGTACGCAGCCGATATAGGCAAGCACGGCGGGAAAGTGGTCATCCTGAACAACGTGGCGGACCCGGCGAGCAGCGTCGAGAACGCCCGCAGGATCAGAGACTCGTTTAAGGGCGCCGCGGCGGTGGTGGAGAGCGTGGTGGCTGGGCACACGAGCTTCGTGGCGACGAGCGACTGTCTGAACAAGGTGATCTTCGAGTTCTTCGCCACGGGGACGGTGCCGAAGGACGGGCTGCGGTGTGAGGGGGCGCACGCGCAGGCTTTCGGGGTGCCGCTGCCGGGTGATTTCCGAAAGGGCGGTTTGTTGTGTGGTGCTTGTCGAGTTCTGCCTGCGTCAGTCTCCTGCTGCTGCACAGAGTGAGGAATGGTGCGTATGGCTTGGTGGACAAAATTTCGAAGCTACCAAGCATGAGTATTCTCTACCCCCCTGGCGTTGGCGATTCTCGATTATACCAAGATTCATCCCACGACCAGATTGTTTTTCAGTAGTTCCAGTGTGACTTGTATTCACGTTGGAACCACCCGGGGTCCCCGATGGCCTAGAATTCCGAGTTTCACAAGGTGGAAACGGGTATCATCACAATCTAGTTCCATAAGCCGGATTAATCATGTGCCTCACCGCAGGAAATACGTTCGAACTTTGAAGTATACCGTCAACGCTTCGTTTCGTTACTTCTGGGTCGAGTATAGACAACTGCCCCAGCACTGGTAATACGAAAGCACAACCCGCGGAGTCGCCGTTAACCAGCTGGCTGGAGTTGAGTGCAAGCTCATCTATCCAAAAAGGAAAAGGATCAAACAAGCCAACAAGTCGGAAATAAGGGCAAGTAAATCAGTGTTCATTAACCGCTCAGCCGGGAAACTGATGGAGCTCTCTCCCGAGAATCAAAATGTATAAACACACGGCATCCCTCAGCAGCCTTCAGCTTTTCCAGACTACCCACGTGACGCCAGCTTTTTCGACGCCATAATCCCGAGCTTTATGGACACCTCACACTATAGTAATTTGTGCTCTTAAATTATCCTCGTTGCCTCTGTCTACATTGACTGATGCCTCTTGTTCCTGTATAGACTTATGCGATTATACGCCTGCTTCCGTTGTCTGATCCATGGAGTGGCGTGCCGCCTCAACCTAATCGCAACAAGGTAGATCACAAGATTGTCTACGAGGAGCTCAGACATACGGCATCGACATGTTTGCCCAAGCAAGGTAAACTTACACTAGTCTGCAGCCGTTGGTCTGATACAGTAGAGTGTTGGTTGTGGTATGCTTGAATTCCACATGACCCTTCTTTTCCAGAAACCAGTCACCCAACATGCATGTAACGTTGTTCTTTGTACACGCCATAGTCAACAGAGCTCCAAGCAGATATTGACAGTGGTTGAGCATTCCCCATTGGAGATCTATTCAATATGAGGACCGGTATGTAAAAGTGAGGACAAAGACAAAGACATTATGTCACCCGATGGCAAGGAACACGTACAGCTGGACCTAGCAGCGCTCCCTCATACTACATGGGCCTTCGATACTTCTTTGTTTCAGTTGTCTCCTTTGTGCTTCTTTGCACGGCTAAAATGCATGAAACGGAAGATTTCTTTGTCACCCACGCGCTCCTGGTGTACATGGGAAGCGGGGGCCGGAAGGAATAGTTTATAATCGCACACTCTTTCGGCACTCAGCCATTCGCATTTTCACTCACAGCTTGGTCTACTCAACAAGTCAATCAGGTTCATCATTCTCACTCGCGAAATCTACAGCTTTCATACGAGACATTCAGCGCCATGTGCTCGCGTGAGAGCTACAAATATGGTGACTTCTTTCGCGGTGGAAAGTTGTTCAATGGCTTCACTGAAGGCCCTGCGCACAAGGACAACTCGGGTATGTATGACCTAGAGAGGCATCTCTTTACGTTCAAAAAGTATATCTCGATGGCACAATCGCTGGATCATTACGCACACGAGTGGAAGTGGTACGGAGAGTTTCATGCCTGCTTCCAAAACGTTTTCCTCGAGTTGAACGACGTCTTCATGTCATCAGCGCAGAGGGAGAAGTCGATATTCAGAATGAACTATGAAGCCATATACGAGGACTGGCTTAGTCTGTGTGTGTACGCAGCGAAGAAGGCTACGCATAAGGAGGCTCATCGAGAGAAGAAAGGGAAGGAGACAATTCCAGACGACTACAATCAAGACTACGTGAAAGTGTTTTACAACAAGCGACAGTACGACGGAGATTTTATCCTTGAACAGAAGGGACGGCTTCCGCACTGGGCTCTCAGACGGAATGAGAAAGACATGAAGGATATTCCGGGCATATACACAAGACTTTGTACTCTGCGCCAGAAGCAGTCAGAACGCAGTCCAGACGACCCCGCCTCTCCGCGCCAGCAACGGAGCCACCACGTCAAATCACGAGGGGCTTCAGTTCGAGATGAAGATATACGCCCTAAGCCACCTCGTCGTCAACCGCCACATACTGGGCAGATGAGGCCAGCACAGGAATACCTGCATCAAGACCGAGATGAAAGACTGGACACAGTCGCCGGCCAACACATGCATGAGCACCACAGCCGGCAATCGAATGCAACGAAAGACCGACAGTCAGCTTTTAAGGTGCACGAGACAGATGCAGAGGCGGAGCAGGAGCAGCGCCTGAGGGCTAGGATAAATCGTGGTCTGCATCAAGGGCAACCTCGCAATCTCCCGCCACAATCAGCATATCGAGCTTACCCACCGCCACAGACCCAGAACACGTACAACACGCGGAACTTTCCGCCTCCGCCATACCGATGAAGTCCTCCTTTCCCGACATGTTCTGAAGGATTGTACTGCACTGGCCGTTGTCGCGAAGTGCCCGTGATTCAGAGCTGGCGTCAACTTTGTTTCCATGTCGACAAGCACTTGAATATCAGCTTCAATGATTTCTATAACAATGCAGTGTTTTCCTTTTACTCTGTGGAGTTTCTCTTTATGTTACGGTCAAGGCGAGAGATTATGATCAGGATCCTAATTCGAACTGTATGTTGCAACAGGTGTGCCTTCCGGGTAGCACCTGTGGGCTATATGGCTAAAACACTCCTTCCTAGGCAACTATATGCAGCAATCACTACCAAGGCCACATCGGTATTTACAGTAAGTGGTTGCATCTGGCTATACTAGTGGAACTCGACCATCATTAAATCTCTTTTCTTGGTAGACGATCTCGGTGTATATACCAGCAAAGAATCTTTCTTTATAGCAGGTAGGTTATATAGCTGGAGGCAATATCGCGCCGAGAATAACTTTGCGTTTTAGGAATAACTAATCGTTACATTTCTCCCACAGCCAGTAATTCACTTTTTTGAGCAATGCCCGAGATACCCTAGGGTATTTTAGTTATTGAAATGTTAGAAAGCCTTAGGGAATTTAGAAGAAGATCGCTGCCTCATGCCTGAGCGACTCCAGCGAGTATGAGACAGAGATTTACGTCGTGATTAGCATTTGAGCCGAACATCGGCCTGCTTGTTGACGCCTAACAAAAAGGTCGTACCCGGGCTCGAACCGGAGTCTCAGGAAGATTGAGGCACCAGTCAAAATCCCACGTGCTAACCGCTACACTATACAACCGTTTGTGAAAGTTGCGCGGCCATTGACAGGTATCACATACTGTTGTCAAAGGAGGGCAAAGGCCTCCAAGAGTCATCTGCGTGCCTAACACTTCCCTTAGCGTTGAAGGCTACTTGCAGTATTGCGGCACTTCAAATTCAATGTTATGTATAACAGAGGGGTGTCGTTCTTGTCCGTGTCGTCTACAGCACCAGTTTGCGAAGGGATGGTAGAAATATCAAGCGCTCCAGCTCCTCCGCAACTTTACAGGGATGCAACAGAGTTCCACTTACATGCACCTGATAAGCAACCGTCATGCAGCAGATGTTAGTAAGCGCCCAACCCCGGCTTGACTCTTCAGGGGAAATTGTTGGTTGCAAGGACCCAAACTTGCATGCATCGAACAGGCTCGGCGCCAGGTTCAGTTATCCCCTCGCTAGAGCATGCCCTGACCTTGTCAATTTCCGCTGAAGGACAGTGTCACGTCTCGTTCCTTTCTCCTTGGTCCCAAGCTTTCTTGCTGAGCAGAAAACTAGAGTCTCCCCTCAAAGTTCAGTAAAACTCATATTCACCAAGCTGACAGACATCAAGGATCTTGCCAGACAACATGGGCTCCCTCAGCATGATCCCTCTACCTCGGACCGCGGATCAGGTCACCGCCGAGTGGCTCAGTAGTGTCCTCGGCCGCAAGATCAAGACCGTTGAGGTGACCCGATCCGTCCTCGACGAGACCGCGACCAAACTATTCATTACTCTGCACTACGATGACAATGTCGACAGCGACGCTCGGCCGTGTCATCTCTGCGTCAAGGGTGGGCTGAACCCAGCCATGTTCAACCTTGAAGGATACTCAGAGATACTCAAGCTCATTTACACCCGCGAAGCTCTCTTCTTCTCGAAAGTGGCCCCCAAGCTTCGGCCCGAGCTCATCCTTCCCAAAGTCTGGTGGGCCGGCGAGGACCTGGAGATGGGCCAGGGCATCAACATCATGGAAGATCTGAACCACGCCGGCGCCACCTTTGGCAACCCGCTTGATGACTGGTCCGTCGACCGCGTCAAGGTCGGCGTCGAGCAGCTTGCCGCCCTGCACAGCTCGACATGGAGCATCACACCGACTGGCGAGAACGCGTGGATCACGCCCGGCTACGAGACCGTCATGCTGGGACTCACTATGAACTGGGACAACATGATCAACGGCGAGGGGCGCCCAGAGTTCCCGCCCATCATCAAGGACTCTGGCGAGCGCGTCGTCGCGGCGCTACAGAAGCACTTCGCGACCAAGAACCCGCGCTTCATGACGCTGCTGCACGGAGACCCGCACACCGGCAACACATTCCTCGACAAGGCGGGCAACCCGCGTTTCATCGACTGGCAGACCTTGCACATTGGGTGCGCCTTCCACGACTTTGCATACTTTGTCGTGGGAGCACTGTCCATCGAAGACCGGAAGAAACATGAGATAGAGATTTTGAAGCACTACCTCGACGCCCTGCACCGGTTCGGCGTGCCGGAGCTCACGGTTGAGGACCCGGAGGTCATGGTGGAGTACCGCAAGTCGTGCCTCGCTGGGCTAGGCTGGATGTTGACGCCGTACAACATGCAGCGCAAGGAGAGAGTCGTGGCGATGAGCGCGAGATACTGCGCCGCCATCGTCGACCACGAGACGATCCAGCTCATCGAGTCACTGCCGGGCCCAAAGTGAGCGAGCTCTTAGCTTAGTTCTCAATAGAATCTCTCACTCAACTGCGATTATTGGGCTTAAGGCGACGGATTGCTTTGGCGTAAACAGTGAGACGTGAGACGCAATCGGCCCAGACTCGAGCACATTTCACGGGAGGCACCAGACCATCACACTGATTCCTGAGTATGGATTGCTTTCTCCATGTCGCGCACCTAAAGGGGGCTAGGTCATTTCCGCTGCCGCAGCGAACTCAACGGCCCGACTTCTGTCGGGTACAGAGAACGAGGATTAACGAGTGTTACACCCGCCAAGCGGGCCGAGCAGAGCCTCGATGGGACCCTGGAAGAGTTCGAGCATCCCAGTGGACGCGCATCCTGGCTAGAAGCAGGCTCATGCAGTTGGTCACACGTTGTGAGCGGAGCCATGCCAGATCTCGCCCACACACCCACACACACCCCGGACGTGATTGCGCGAGAGCCAGCGTCGGATCTCAGCTAGCATTCTCAGCTGCGGCACAGTCCGCATGACACAGCAATCAAGACCAGGGAGGAGGAAGGCCGTTATCTGCCTCATGTGGTTGGAAAGGGCAATTACCAGCGAGTCCGGCGTGCCATGCCTTCGAGGTCCTTGCACTGACCCTTGCCGCTTCCCACTTCCAAGAAACGCAAAGCTGAATGTCATCTCCAGTTGCAAGGATCGGAAACTGTGCAAAGGTCCGCGGGCAAGTGATAGGCCACCAGGCAAGCTGGGGTCCATCTGTTTTGTTTGCTTCGCATTTACAGGCTGCTTCTGATTCCTTTGACAATGATCCTGACGCATTTTGTATTTGTATGAACGGTGTCGACAACCAACACTTGTTGGTCACATCTCATAACTAATGGCCCACAGTGCCTCGAATGCATGCCGACTGCATTCATGTCGCGATCACATTTCGATGTGGAATCGACCTCGCGGCTTCGGTGCAACGAAACGAGACTTGCCCTTGCACATCATATTCCGGGCAAACTGTGCCGAGCCAGGTTTATCACTAGGTAGAAATGAAAATCAAACCCGGAGCAGGCTGGTGCCCACGCCCAAGGTTTTCTCGCAGTATAGAAAGCATCGGCTTCTCTTGAACGACTTACCTATTTGGACCATACATGTCTCCTCTCCAGTGGCACCTCCTGCTTCGCTGTTTCACTAGAACGCGCGCGCACAATGGGTGTACGAGAGGCTTACTACCCTCTCGGGATCAGTCTCATTGTGGTCAATGGCTTCGCGATTGCCACTCGATTCTGGGCGCGGATGGGGAAAGGATCAATGGGTTACGATGACTACACGATGGGCGTCGCCTTCCTCGGCTTCGTCATCTTTGTGGCCATGGAGCTGCGCGCTGTCGATTTAGGAATAGGCGCCACTAGGATCGAGCCGGGTTTCGACATGATGGAAGCCGCTAAAGTAGGTGCAGTAACCTGTGGCAGCAATTCTGTCACCGAGCATATGTTTTCTCATCGCCATAGACTAACCCTTTCGTGGTCTTGACCAAACAGTACTTTACTTGCGCTCAGGTCGTGTACATCTTAGCCACCGGATTATCGAAGATCGGCATTGGCCTCGTCCTCCTCCGACTCTCCGACAAAGCTGGGATGACCCTGGTGCGGTGGCTGCTGCTCAGCACGATGGCCGTCGTGGGCGCCACTTCAATTGGCGTTGGCCTCCTTTTCGCCCTGCAGTGCAGACCGCTCTCTGTCGCCTGGGGCGTCGGCGTGGGCACTTGCATCTCGACAGAGACGATCGGGCTCGGGGGCATCGTGCTGTCAGTCGTGGACATGGCGGTCAGTTGGTTCTATGCAGTGAGTAGCTCACAGCAGAGGCTGGTCCCCTTGTGTGACTTTTCACTCAGGATGCTAACATCGGACAGCTCCTCCCAGTGTACATGCTCTGGAAAGTACAGCTCAAGACGAAGCTCAAGATCTTCGTGCTGGTGCTCCTCGGCTTTGGCGCAGTGTTCGTGCACACCCAATGGCGACTTTTCGACTTGATGCTGACCAAACTCACCTGTTCCCAGGAGCTCTATAAGCACAATTATGCGTCTTAAGTTCGTGATTGAGATATCGCAGATGGAAGAGAGCTACGGCTTGGCCGCAGCGAAGACGATTCAACTCAGCCTCGAGGCGACCCTGTAGTAAGTCCCCCACAAAGGTTCTATACTCGCGACGGTTTTCCGTTCATCAAGTGCTCGTTCCTAAACAGCCTTCTCTTTCGCAGCTCCATCGCCGAGATCGGCCTCAGCATATTCGCGGCCTCTCTCACCGCGCTGCGACCCCTGCTGATCAAACTGTCCGAGCTCTCCACATTCAGATCCAGCCGCAGGACGGCATCGAAGCACGACGACCCCAACTCGTTCGATCTCGCCCAGATCAGCAAGGCGCCCCCATACCGGCTCGCTGACGACCACGACGACGCGGCTCACGCGAGCAGCCAGGAGAACATTGTACCGTCTGCTCACGCTGAGATTCGGAAGACTACAGAGTTCGGTATCAAACACGGGCGGTCTTCTGGAAGTGTAGAGCAGGCAGCTGGATTCAAGGCAACACAGTAGAGAGTGGAAGAGCGTTCTTGTTTTCAATGGTGCTCATTGGTAGCTCAGAAACGTGACCGTCAGTGGTGCGCGATATACTTACTGCTGCATTGCGGCCTACCAATGCTTCGAGCCTCAACGGATTGGCGAAACGTAAAGGCTTCCGATTTTACAATGCAAAAATAATCGAGTTGAGTTCAATATATGTAACATATCATCTACCTCTCAATAATCGATGAGAAAAAACGCACGCCTTTCCTTCAATGTTCGGTAAGAAACAGGGCGACCAGAACGCGAAGATCCAGCCACTGACTAGCAGTCTTTTTGCGATGCTAATTACGCGTGAGGGTAAATTAACGTGTACTATGCTATTTGCGGACACAAGCTCACGGGGAGCTCTGAGACATAAGCCCGGAATTAAACACCGCGCCTTATCAAGCTGCCAGCTTCAGCCTTGATCGCATATTCCAGGTCCAAACTCAAAGCCACCCGGGTTAATGTCTCACAGCTCTCCGCTGCGGTCTTTGCTAGATTGTAGAGCCGCAACCTCACCTTGGTATGTTTATTCGAGCGCAAGGCAATGTAGCTGGATCTTTTTAAAATATGTAGGCAGCTCATGCTACTTCAGAACGCGCAGTCAGTGAGGCTCAGCCTTCCACAAGATAGCGTGGCACTTTCAAAACACACTCGGCTGCAGACCCAACAACATCTCCCCAGAGTCATGCAAGGAAAGCTAAATCCCACCCACGGACATCCACTATGTGTATGCAACTCTTTGCT